TTTCCTGATTAGTGATATAAATGAAGACACCAGTGCTCCTTCAACTAGTGGTGGGGAAAAAGCTACTCGGCGTGTGAAAACGAGAAAGTACAATGAGAACTATTTATCACTAGGCTTTACGAAAACTGTGATCAGTGATGAAGAACGTCCGCAATGTGTAATCTGTCTAAGTATTTTAGCTGCAGCTGGTATGAAACCTAATAAATTAAAGAGACAGCTTGAAACCAAACATCCGAAGTTTACAAATACACCAAAAGATTTCTTTTTTGTTAGAAAGCTTAGTGGTTTAAAGTCCGCCCAACATAAATTTGCTAAAACAACAAATGTGACTTCTAAGACCCTTTTTTGTCTCTTACCAGGTTTCTCATAGAATTGCTAAATGCAAGAAACCACACACGATTGCAGAAACACTGATTTTACCAACAGCGATTGACATAATATCAACAATGTTGGGTGACTCTTCTGCTCAACAATTGAAAAATATCCCCTTCTCTAATGACACAGTTTATAGAAGAATTTCAGACATTTCTAACGATCTACGTCAGCATTTAATAGAAGTTGCGTAACAAGTGCTTTACACTTCAAGTGGACGAAGCGACTGATATTCATAAAGATGCTCATTTGAGTGCGTACGTTCGCTTTGTTGGTGAGTGTAATATGCGAGAGGAATTGTTTTTCTGTGAGCCTATCTTGAAAACAGCAACATCTCAAAGCCTTTTCGACATGATTAATGCTTTCTTTAATGAAAATGGGATATCATGGGATAAGTGCACTGGCATATGTATAGATGGAGCTCGTTCAATGTCTGGATTCCGTGCTGGATTACAAGCAAAAATTAAAGCTGTTGCTCCCGAAGCAGTATGGACTCACTGTATGACACATCGGGAGACTCTGGCAGCTAAAAAACTCAGCCCACCCCTTCATGAAGCGTCAATGTTATCAAGACAAATCCTCTGAAGTCTAGACTTTTTAAAATGTTGTGTGAGGAAATGGGTGCCGAACACACTGCTCTGTTGTTTTTTAGTGATGCTCGATGGCTTTCAAGAGGCAAGGTATTAAAGAGAATATTTGAGCAGAGGAATGAGGTGTTCTGTTTTTTAAATGGAGAAAATCACTCACTGGTAGACGGTTTCAGCAAAACGGATTTTTTATTGAAAATGGCTTACCTCACAGATATATTTGAGAGACTATGTGTAAATATCCTCAGCACTTCACTTCAAGGGAATGAGGCAACTGTACTTTCTTGGAACGACAAAGTGAAGGCATTCATGAGAAAATTAGAGCTCTGGAGAAACAGTATNGTGCGTACGTTCGCTTTGTTGGTGAGTGTAATATGCGAGAGGAATTGTTTTTCTGTGAGCCTATCTTGAAAACAGCAACATCTCAAAGCCTTTTCGACATGATTAATGCTTTCTTTAATGAAAATGGGATATCATGGGATAAGTGCACTGGCATATGTATAGATGGAGCTCGTTCAATGTCTGGATTCCGTGCTGGATTACAAGCAAAAATTAAAGCTGTTGCTCCCGAAGCAGTATGGACTCACTGTATGACACATCGGGAGACTCTGGCAGCTAAAAAACTCAGCCCACCCCTTCATGAAGCGTCAATGTTATCAAGACAAATCCTCTGAAGTCTAGACTTTTTAAAATGTTGTGTGAGGAAATGGGTGCCGAACACACTGCTCTGTTGTTTTTTAGTGATGCTCGATGGCTTTCAAGAGGCAAGGTATTAAAGAGAATATTTGAGCAGAGGAATGAGGTGTTCTGTTTTTTAAATGGAGAAAATCACTCACTGGTAGACGGTTTCAGCAAAACGGATTTTTTATTGAAAATGGCTTACCTCACAGATATATTTGAGAGACTATGTGTAAATATCCTCAGCACTTCACTTCAAGGGAATGAGGCAACTGTACTTTCTTGGAACGACAAAGTGAAGGCATTCATGAGAAAATTAGAGCTCTGGAGAAACAGTATGGAAAGTGACACGCTAGACATGTTCCCTACTCTGGTGTCAATGGTACAAGACACTGATAATCCAGTGCTTCCAATGGACATAAAAAGCTGCCTACTTGATCAGCTCATAATGTTGAAAGTTCATTTCGAGAAATACTTTTGCAGTGATTCTGATGAATTTAATTGGATTAAAAATCCATCCAAAAATGCTCCTGGGCCATCATCTCTGAATGTAAATGAGCAAGAACAACTCGTCGATCTCACTAGTGATACGTCATTAAAAAATAAATTTAAGGAATTGTCTTTGTTGGAGTTCTGGATACATATTGGCAAGGAATTCCCAACTTTGAGCCAAAAAGCATTGAAGATCCNCACATCGGGAGACTCTGGCAGCTAAAAAACTCAGCCCACCCCTTCATGAAGCGTCAATGTTATCAAGACAAATCCTCTGAAGTCTAGACTTTTTAAAATGTTGTGTGAGGAAATGGGTGCCGAACACACTGCTCTGTTGTTTTTTAGTGATGCTCGATGGCTTTCAAGAGGCAAGGTATTAAAGAGAA